TTGTATTAGTCTGTTTTTCCCTTCTTCAAAAAGATAGGCAGCAGCTTGACAAAGCCATGATGGCAACTATTTTACATCCAAGTAGTTTGTAGTTCTTCATATATACACACACATCAATGCACCATCAGACAGATGGTATCAGTATCTGCCAATACTGCACAGCCAGGGTTCGGACATCGGGGCCAAAAAAATGATATCGGTGCAACACTAATAGGTATACAGTGGGAACACCTTCACATCGCCCAGCCCTAGGTCCAATCAGAATATATTAATGATCAGTTTTGATATTCTTATTGTTCAGTTTTACAGTTTTTGAATTCTTAATAATGTTTCAACTTTTCAGGAGTGCAGGATTTATATGCGTGGAAAGATTGGAAAAAAGTAATGTTACTAAACATGAGTGGCTCTCCGTCACTCATTTGTATGTGTGTAAATGTAGCTTTTGGAAGATAAAAGTTTGGCGACTCCTGATCTGTAGCAACTACTAGTTTCAGAGCACTTTTCTGTCCTGCAGTTTGGCTGAGGACAGCCAAAGGGACGGTTTAGAACTAAAGCCCCCAGGTCGGATGGTCTTTCACTCCTTCCTCCTTTATCCACCAGGGGCAGTATTGGGTCGTGACGGCGGCGCTATGAAGCAGATGCTGCTGCCCTTCTGGCTGGGGCTCGGGGGAACTCTGGGCTCTGGAAGACAGCCGTTCCCTTGGATCCACGTCACGGATCTGGCAGGAATCATTGCTCGATCTCTGGAGCCTCCTGCCAACACTGAAGTCACACACTCCTCACCACAGGTGTACAACGGAGTAGCACCCGCGTTCGCCACCAACTATGAGTTCACCAAGGAACTGGGTCGAATTCTGAGGCGGCCCACAATCTTTCCTGTTCCTGAGTTCGTCATGAGCGCCCTGTTGGGCTCCGAGAGGGCCGTGATCCTCACTCAGGGACAGAAAGTCCGACCCATGAAGACTCTAGAGTCTGGATATCAGTTCAAATACCCAGACTTGACCTCAGCACTGAAACAGATTGTAGGGAGTTAACAGATGCTGAACTTTATGATTGTGTTTCATGAATAAAAACTGTTGATTAAAGCTGCTCAGATTGCAGACAATTTGAATTTTATTTCCACAATACATTAAACTACACTAAAAAGGTATTTTCAAATAAAAGAATCTATCAGATTTCTTCAGACTCTATTATAGAATTCCACTATGATCACTATGAGATAATGCATATGTCTGATTAGTGGGTTTGTTTACAAAGGAAAAGGTAAATAACATTTAAAAGCTGCAAATTATTCCCATTTTCCACTTAAACGTTAAAGGTTTGCATTAGAATCTGTCACCTTTGACCATCAAATTGTAAAATTTTAAAACGGGACATAATCTTCTCATGTTGAACCCAACCAGCACTTATCAGAAGTTCCTGTTGCTCTCTGCTCCATGCAGCCATTAACAAAATATCCAGTTTTTGTAGCATCACTTTTTTCCCTTAAGTCAATTTAACTTAGGGAGGCGGTATGAACACAGTAATGCTAAATAAAGTTTTAATAAAGTATTATATGTAGTAAAGTAGTTAATGCAGAGAAAAAGAATTTCAACATTTTTGCTTCGGATAAATTCAATCAACTTTTAACATCAAATATAAGCTCTCTTTTCACCTAAAATGATGCAGATTGAAGCACTTAGCAGGAGGCTGCATCTTCAACCTAAAGCAGGGGCACCCAAGCATTTCTGCATAGGCAAACATCTGACAAGTTTAAACTAGACACAAAAATATTCCCTTTTTTTTAAACATATATAAAAACACAATCATAGTTCTGTTGTAAAATTATTAAATAGTGTTTTAATGAAAGACTGATTTCTATTCTGAAAGGTTTAGTTAACATTTAAGATCACAAAGCTAAAAAGGAAAAGCAAAAAAAAAAAAGAAGAAAGGTTTGATTTTTTTTTTTCAGTTTTTGTTGTAGCTTACATTTATGTTTTTGATATTTTGAATTTGAAACCAACTTTATTGTTTTGTTTGAAAATTTCGCTGTTAAATGCATGTTACCACCAACAGCCTGGACCAGTGAATTTAATTTGAGCCATATTTAACTTTTGCTCAAGGACCACAGAAGATCCTTCCAATGGCTAAATATGGCCTCATTTTTAACACTGGGGTTTAAGAAGAGCCCAACTGCTATTCTTTATACTTCTTAAGAGGTTAGAGTCTTTTGGTTTTTACTTGCACTCGACTTCTCTGGGTAAATACCCCAGATAACCATGTTATCCTCGACTTTAGCGACAGGAATAATATCCAAATCTTGGGGCCTATTTAATGAAAGCTTCATTCAGAAATCCCAGAATAAGGATAAAACCAGACTCCAGGTAGCGTGAGGAATGCATCCTTGTTTCATCCGTTCCACAAAGACCAGGCAGTTCCACTTCAAAGCATGGTGTATGTAATCAAACTAAATGCTGGTCTGTAGATTTCTTCAAGAGACTAAAAGGTTGATCACAGATTCATTGATTCAGCAAACAACAGATCCACTAAATGCCTAAACTGCCAGTTAACGAAATCCGGAGCATCATTTAATTGTAATGTATCTTCCATCCAACACACCAATAACCTCGGGAAATGTTGCATCAAAAAATGAAAGTAGTCCAGCTGTTCTTTTCAGTGATGTGAAGTCTAAATCATGTTACATCCAATATTGTAGAGTCCCTCCTTGATATACTTTAATCTTCCATGGCCAGGAAAGTTATGAAGATGTACCTATCTTCCTTTTAAACCCACTTCTGATGGTGCATTTAATCGTTTCTTTGCTAAGGTTTTCAGCATCTCTTTCTGCATACAGGAAAATATCATTAGAGGAAAATGAGCCCAGATCAGATCATCTGTGAGGTGGTAAAGGTGTGGCTCTGCTCTGTGCGATGCTGAATGTTGGACCCAGTAGTCTGCACAGGTAGCAGATGTCCTCCCTAGAAATACCTGCTCATGCAGGTAATTTAAAAAAAACAACAATCAAATATAGGCATTTCTTTAATACCTTCAACACAGCAGGAATCCAACAAAGGCCTTTCTGTCGAACTTAGAACAACAGCCGTCTTTAAAAAAAAAAAGAACAAAAAGCAACGTTCACAGAAAACTATAAGGTTAAAGATAATAAAGGCCAGTGATTCCCAACCAGGAGCAATGATTTGATCTGCAGGAGCTATGTGAAAACATTTAATATTTTACTTCCCAGATAAAGAAATACAATAAAATAGGACTGGGATGTTTTTTTTTATCAGTAAGGGCAACATAAACCAAGATTTGATCAACAAAAAAAGATTCAAATCAATATTTTCATGAAAGACTAAAGTGGGTATCAGTGCTTTGCACCTGCACGACTTCTCTGTGAGCTAGAGCAGGAAGCAGCGCAAAGTCAAAGAGAAGAAAGCACCAAAGCAGCTGCATTCAAGGCTAAATGGATAAAACATCCCATTACTGGGGATTCAGGAGGGCAGACGTTTCATTAACACAGTGAATGGTGAAACCAAAGTAAAAGTGTCATATCTGAAGATCATTTATTCATTTCCCCCCCCCTGATTTATAGGAGACTTGTTCAGAAGAAATCCAGCTTCTGTTAAAAAAAAAACGTAGATTTGTAACTTGATTTGATTTTGTATTTATTCCAGTACTTATTCACTTTCCAGGAAACAAATTTATTTGAAATGAAATTAATGAAATGTCTGAGCATTAAAGCTTTATTTTAAGAAATTAAATGAATATTTTTTGTTTTATGCTCTATCATACTATTTTTGGAAAGTAAAATGTTTGATGGGGGAACAAGGAGGTAGTCCTGGTGTGATAAAATGACCAAGGGGGTACATAAGTCAAAGAAGGTTGGGAAAAACTGGTATACGCTACCATCATAATGTTAAAATATTGAAAGTAATTTAATAGTATTTATTAGTGTTTTTATATAATGTAGAGAGATGGGGTACAGACATCACTGAAAAACCTCATTGCTTTGATACATATGGCTTTTATTGGAATCTGAAGGGGACCAGGATGCATAACAAGAATATAAATCATTGGGTCAGATGCTCTGGCCCACAGTCCAGTCACAGTAGATAAACTATCTGCCTCCACCGGCCAATGATCCCAAGAAGGAGAGAAAGTCTTTGGTTTGTGATCAGTGTCACCTGACTAGCTTGGCCAGGAGCAGGCTAGCGGTGCAAGTTAGCATGGTTCCATGAAACCAAAGTGAAGTAGAGCTCCGGAGTGTTTCAGCTACTCTCAACGAAACAGATATTTTCATCTGGAAAGTCTGGATGTTGATGGCAAGTTTTATTTTGACCAGTGGTGTCAAAAATACAAACATTTGTTACTTAAGTAGAAGTATAGATGCTGCAGTTTAAAAACACTCTGGTAAAACTTGAAGTATCAACTTGACCTCTTTACTCAAGTTAAAGTGAAAAAGTATGTGCTCCAGAAACTACTTAAAGTGTAAAAATATAAAGTAACCTTTAATAAAAACAGCCAGATGCCACTTTATGAATTAAAAGCTCAATTTTACAACTATTTAAACAAAATTATTTGAGATAGGACCAAGGATGAGGGAGGTCTTGTTGGTCTCCATCTCCAGATACGCTCTCGTCTGTGTCCGACCTTTCAGACATTTCAGCATCTTTTTCTGAATCCTACATTGCAGCATGGCATAGACAATTCATGTTAGCAGTTTGAAGAACACCTGCTTGCTTCTGATGATTTCCTTTAGCTAACCAATGAGTGTTTGCGTTAATAACCCATCCAATCACACTAGTTTTCACTAGATGTTGGTGGCGCCAATGATCTGCTTGGGTGGCGCACATGACGTGAAATAAATATTTATAAACAATTTAAACGAAGCCAAGAGTAACGAGTAACATTTGTCTTAAAAATATAAGGAATAGAAAGTACAGATACTTGTGTGAAAATGTAATGAGTAGAAGTATGAAAAAAAATAAGTAATGGAGTAAAGTATAGATACCTTAAAATTGTACTTAATGAAGTATTTGTACTTTTTTACTTGACACCTCTGATTTTGACATTTCTAAACTTTCATTTGATGCAAAGTAAGACACAAAAATACAACATCCAAATACTTATGGACTACAGTTGGGGAAACCAAACATATGTAAATGTTTAATAGAGACCTATAGACTTCCTGTAGTTTAGCAAACAGACCTGGAGTAAAACACTACAGCAGACGATCTGCCTTTAGATTCTGAAGGGATTTCTGTTTCCAAACAGTCCAGAATTAACTAGTTTCCATCTGGATCATCTCTCCGAGTTGCTGTCGATCTCCTCTTCTTTGACGTGTTCAATGACTGGCAGCTGATCTCCCCAATCGCTGTTCCGAGCGCAGCGGTACACATCTCTGGAAAAACAATTATTTCACATCAAAATAGCACAGAATATATGTATCAGAAAGTAGTCAAACATCTAAAGAAGGCATCCCCAAAGTCGGTCCTGGAGGGCCGCTGTCCTGCAGGTTTTAGAGGTTTCTCTGCTTTAGCACAGCTGATTCTGATGATTGCAGTTCAGCAAAAGCCTGTTAATCAACTATTAATGGAAATCAGCTGTGCTGGAGCAGGGGAACCTCTAAAACCTGCAGGACAGCGGCCCTCCGGGACCAACTTTGGAGATGCCTGATCTAAATCATTATTATGTCATAGCTGATTTATTCTAAATGGATTAATGACATTTTATCCAATAAGGTAAGAAATAAATTCTGAAATGTCATGTTTATTTTTTTAACTTTATGAGAATAAAAATAAAACAGTGGGCCTGAGAACTTTTCCTGATAAGAATTTATGAAAAAATAACTTTCTACCTAATAATCAATTAATCAATAAATCGTATTTATTTCACATTTTAAATGTACACTTATTTTCAAATGATGAATATCATCAACTTGACATCACAGCTGAACACCGAAGGTTTAGCAATTACCAGGGCGGTGCAGCTCCCTCTGCAGCTTTAAATGCCTTTTTGACTCCGTGATTGCCCGTCTAAATTTATGTTGGTTCCGTATACCTCCTAGACCCAGCCAGGGGATGCAACAGAATCAGACAAGGTGTTTTTTTCTTTTTCCTAACTTGTGACTTTCTGTCAGTGGGACAAAAATGCAGCAAACCAGCAGAACTTATATCTGACTGCACTGGTTCCCTCTGCGACTAGCTTGCCATTACACCGGCTGCCAATTTCCAGCGAGCCTGCACTGCTGCAGACTGGTCCACTCGCCCTACTCAGCCGGATTGGGATTAAACCCCAATCTCGGGGGGGGTTACCGCTGAAAATGACACAATATGGAAGTTTTACTTCCTCCGTTCTGTTAGTGGCACACTTGCACGCTCTAATTCAGTATTGTTTTCTAGCTTTTTTTTAGCATTAGCAGATATTTAACTTACCGTAATTTTCGGAATATAAGCAGCACCTGAATATAAGCCGCAGGTTTTTTCTGTTTAATTACCATATGATTCATGCACAGAGAGGATTGTCGGGAAAGAGGCAACTGTTTGGGGAAGCTCCTATTTATTAACATTTCAACACAATTGAATTGAGACAATTCTTCCTGCTGGCGTCTCCAACGTACTCTTGATTGATGACTCGTTGATTTCAAGGTTACGTGCAGCGGTTCTATTTCCTTTGTTTACTGCCAAATTGACTGCCTTTAACTTAAAAGCGTCATCATATGCATTTCAACGTTTGTTTTCCGTAATGAGGGTGTCACACAAACTTGACACAATGTCCAAGTTTGCGCTCACAATGTCCGTCTTTCTTTGAGTTTGCTTCCGGAGGTACCGTATTACCCTATTGGCCATTAGCTGTAAAAGTCTATAGATAAGCCGCATTGTTATATAAGCCGCAAGGTCAAAAAATGGTCGAAAAATGGGGAAAAAGTTTACCGTACTTTTCGGCTTATAGTCCGAAAAGTACGGTACTTGTCCAAAAGGAAAGCAGCTTCACCAATCTTTACCTTTTTTTTTTTCTTTTGGCTTGCATCAGAGAAATTGTGCGAAAGAAGAAGCCATTGCGAGGCTCCAACACGCAACTAGGATCTGGGAACGCCTGTGATCCATTTCATGTGAATTTAAACGCTGCAGAGCCCTTTCTTATCAACGTTAGCATCAAAACTAGAAGTAAATATTTATATATTTTGGACCCATGACAAGTTTTTTTTTATTTTGATGAAAAAATATTTTGAGGAAAAAACTTGTAGTTATGACCTTTAAGTCATTTAGCTCTGGGTTTATATTAAGGTCTACAAACTAGCTTCAGTCCACTGATCTATTTAACCAGCAGCTTTCCCTCTCTTCCAGCCGCTTCTTACCGGCTGTGTTTCCGTGCCGTCACCACCATGTGCTGCAGCTGCCCATCCGAGCGGCACATGTGGCAGTGGACGTGTCGGGTTCTGCGCAGCACTGGTGCGATCAGCCTTCCCCAGTCCAGACCTTCTGCTCCTGCCTTTGCTGGTTCTGTTCGGCTCAGGATCAAGTAGCTGAACTTCTCTGTCTGACACTCATGTTTCTGAATACAGAACAAATGGATGGAGGAAATATTTAAATGTTCATTTATTTAACTACTGTAGTGGGCATAAAAAGTATTCAACTATTTACTCTAGTTAAATAAACAGAGATCCAAAGATTTCACTCAGTCTGCACTTTAGTTTATATCTTTTAATCATACAGCCCTTATGGCACAGTATTCAGCCCCGTTCTGCCTGAGCAGCGTTCGTTCCCCCTTACTTACAACAATAGAAAAGTAGTCAGAGTCAAAACAAATTACAGCCACTTTGGTTAAACAGTAACATGTTAGGAATAAACCTTGAGAAAGAATGTGGTTTGATTTGGGAAGAAGCTATGTCTGGTCTACAAACACTCTAACAGGGGAATTGTGTGGCCTTGCAGGTAAAAACAGACTGAGTGAAAACCTTTATAGTGAGTAAAAAGGATAAATGAATATATAAAATAAGAGAAATAAACTGAATATTTGACAAAAGTTGTATCAAAATTAAAGTATTTACTACCATCAAATGTATGACTAACCACAGACATAAAACAATTGATCCAATGTTCTGTATTTTTTCCCTCTGTTAGCAGGTTGGGTCTTACCCCTGGCAGAGGTAGAGGATGGTAGCGCTGCTGGAAGTTGCAGGGTGTGATGGGCTCCTGGGCCAGTTTAGGACAAACCATTTCATGAGGGCACTGAATTAAATTAGACGATAAAAAACAAGTCAATAAAAAACAACCATGTTTGACTCTGCTGGCTGAGATGATGACTGATCTTTGAAGGTTTTTCAGCCTACCGGTGCAAACATGGATGCTGGTCGAGGGTCATGAAGGACCTTTTCCTGTTTCTGGAGATCGACCATTAGGTTTATAAGACTGATCCATCATCACAAAATAACAGGAATAATTTATTAAATACTCAAATACCTTTAATAAAGACTCTCTGGCCTCCATCAGCATCTGATGACCCTCTTTGGTACCATTTTCCACCAGAACCTAAAACACAGATCGTATCATATAAACAAACAATGAACTGCTGGTTGTAGTATTATTATTATAGTAGGAGTACTTTTATTTTAACATTAAATAAATTATAAAATATAAATTCTATTACATTTTATACCTGTTTTATTTTAAATAAATATTTAGAAATTCTAAATATTGGCTGCATTAAGTAGAGTTAAGTTATTTATCAATTTCAACTGATTATTTGAAATGTATTGAATATAAACTTTAATCATATTATTGTAAAAGACATTTAAAACATTGAATGTAAGTTTATCTTTGCCTCTTAGAAGTTATGCTGGTAATTTTTATCAACATTTAAAGTTTTACTAATATTCTTCTTGATTCGGTGCCGGAGTGCGCCATTTTTAAAAAACTGAGGAACAACAACAATGGAGAAATACGACGAAAGGTTAATCGGTCTTTTTGCATACTATTAACAAAGACTCTTCCGCTTTAATGTCTAGCAACTCTAGATCCATCTCCATGACCGTGATATTTTGCAGATGTGCCATTGTGGTTTTGAAAGATAAACACCTGCTGGCGCCGCCAAAGTTCTCGTGACCATCCGCCGAAGTTCTCGAATATGCTCCCCCTTGCACTCTGGTAGGAAACTACTGTGCGTCTCTAGAAATTCCAGACCGACGGTGCAGAAGCATACCATTAAAACTGGTTCGCGACCAGACCCAAGCCACATTTGATGTGTGCGGTTAAAGAAGTATAATCTGCTCTTTAGCCAACGACCTGAATGACTTCTACAGTCCTGCAACCACCAGCCATGACACCTCCCCCACCTCAGCTGGGGCCTGGGCGCCTCTCACGATACCCACCTTAAAGGCCCATCCCTTCTCCCCTCCTCCCACCTCAGTGACAACTCTTTCCATAAATTAGAGAGATGTTAATAAACTCTTCTGAAGACAGAACCCCCGGGAAGCTGCTGGACCAGATTCTGTGTCTCCATCCACACTGAAGCACTGATCAGCTGTCTCCATTGTTCACAGACATTTTAACACCTTACTGGCGACATGTCATGTTCCAAACTGCTTCAAATCCTCCACCATTATCCCTGTTCCTTGAAGCCAAGGACATCAGGACCTAATGACTTTAGACCCGTCGCCCTGACCTCTGTGTCACACCTGAAAGAGATCACTGACCCCCTCCTGGACCCCCTACAGTTTGCCTACAGAGTCAACAGGTCTGCAGATGACGCTGTCAACTTGGCCCTTCACTACATCCTCCAGCACCTGGATTCCATAGGTACCTACGCCAGGATCCTGTTTGTGGATTTCAGCTCTGCCTTCAACACAATCATCCCAGCTCTGCTTCAGGAGAAGCTCCCCTAGCTGAGTGTGTCTGACTCCACCTGCAGGTGGATTACAGACTTCCTGTCAGACAGGAAGCAGCACATGAAGCTGGGAAAACACATCTCTGACTCACAGCTCATCAGCACCGGTTTCCCCCCAGGGCTGTGTTCTTTCTGCTCTGCTCTTCTACACCAACAGCTGCACCTCCAGTCATCCGTCTGTCAAACTTCTAAGTTTGCAGAAGACACCACTCTCATCGGACTTATCTCTTATGGGGACAAGTCCGCCTACAGGTGGGAGGTTGACCATCTGGTGACCTGCTGCAGGGAGAACAACCTGGAGCTCAACGTTCTAAAAACAACGTGGATGGTTGTGGACTTCAGGAAGAACTCATCCCCAGCTATCCCCATCACCCTCTGTGACTCCACGGTTATCATTGGGAAGTCTTTCTGCTTTCTGGGAACTATCATCTCACCTCCTCCATCACCATCTGGTACGCTGGTGCCACCGCTAAGGACAAGAGCAGACTGCAGCGTGTCATCCGGTCTGCAGAGAAGGTGATTGGCTAAAATCTTCCATCTCTCCAGGATCGGTACGCCTCCAGGACTCTAAACCGCGCAGGGAAGATTGTGGCTGATTCCTCATCCCCAAGCCACAAACTATTCCAGTCACTTCCCTCTGGCAGGAGGCTGCCGTCCATCAAGACCATAACCTCACGCCACACCACCAGCCTTATCAACAAGGACCACCTTTCTACATTAACGCACAGTCTACTGTGTATATAGTATATAGCAGGGGTAACCGATTAAAAATCAGCGGGGTCCGAATAATGAAAATCAACAACTAGTAAAGGTCCGGAGCCATTTTTAGTTATAATCTGTTACTTTAAACATAATTTAACACTGAAATAAAAAGCAGTTTTTTATGCATTCATGTTATACATTGAATTTATAAATTAACATATATTTAAAAAAAATTTTTTTGAGAAAGAGAACAACAATCTTTCACTTTGGTATATCGACAATTTTGTGATTCATATAGTTTATAAAACACCTGAACTGACCATTTGAACTGACAGCAGCTCATTGGCTAATTTGTATCACATGCTGGACGCTCCGTGTGGCTTTACCATATTACCAGGAGAAGCGGCGCAAGTGAAGTTAGACACTGTCGTCAGACAACGTGGTAATTTATAAATGTTTTAAATCAGGTTGGGTCCAGATCCGGACTGCGGTCCGCTAATCTGTGACCTCTGGTATATAGCTATGTACTATATATAGTAAATAGTATATTGTATATAGCTGTAGATTCTGTTCACATATTTAATTTGTCTGCACCATAAACACCAAGTCAAATTCCTTATAAGTGCAAACCTATTTGGCAATAATCTTGATTCTGATTCAATTACTAATTTTAAAACTAACCTTAAAATCAATTTTAATCTTTGGATTTTGCCAGCATGAGACTCTCTGTTTTGACACTTGTGGCCTTTTTTTTTTTATTTGGTTTTATTTGTTTTAATCAATGTATTATATTTGCTTGATTCCTTTACATTCTGTTGTTTTTAAACAATTTTAACTTTAAGTCATATGTATTTTGTGGCAGCTGTGGTTGTTTTCGAGGGCTTTATAAATAAAGTTGAGTTTATCTGGGGGTTTTTTGGACCACAGCGTGCCATTAATTGTGTTGTGTAAATTGGCTCGTCTTTCAAATAATAAAACTGTCAATAAAAAGTAGAAAAGCAGCATCATTTTAACACGTGGCTCTTCCCTTGCGGCCAGTTTCAGAGCAGTAAAGCCTGTTGAACATTGAAAGATTCAACCAACCAGGTAAGAATTGGTCTTCCTCCACAGAGTCACCACTGCCTCCTCTCGGTCCACGCCGCTGGGAAGCTCTGACAGAGTAAAAGCTGCAACCACCAGATCAAACTGCACCTGGAGAGACAGAACCTGGAGCTTCAAGGCCTTCATTATAATAATAATCTGCAAAGCTGACATTTACAAATGCAGATTTTAATCCCAGATTTTGTTTAAGTGTGTTTTTAAGCTCACCAAGTTAAAAATGTGTCTTGGGCAATGAATCAATTGATAATATTATTTATCTATTACTGTAATAGATTATTAATATCATCAAACCGTACTGTACATTTTTAATTATTCTAAGTTGGTAAAAGTTGTGTATGAGATGCATGTTTTACAATTTGATCATGTTATTGTTTATATTTCATGTTATTATAATGTATGTTTATTTTTAATAAGTGTAGTATTTATTATATTATAATGGAAATTAGCTTTGGCTATAAACTTTAAATGCAGCACTTGTTTGGCCACTATGTTTGCCTGTACTGTCCATCAAATAAAGATGAAATGAAAATAGGTGGAATTTATTATGTGTCTTTTACTGTTGCCTGGGTTGGTGTTATAAACTGGTTATCAGTCATTAAATAAAAGCTTGAAAAAATAAATAAAAAAAGGTCAAAGGTTTGGAGATTTTTAGGTTTTAGGATTTGCAGCAGAAAAAGACTAATGCTAAATAATTTTTATGGGAATTATAATTATATTATCAACTGAGGCACTTTAAATGTTATTATTGGGATGAGTGTATTTAATGATACTATGCCTTAACTATTTTAAGTTATTTTAGTTTTTGCAATTAGAAATAATCTGTTGATTATTTTTTAGATTAATCATTTGCTAATCAGATAGCCAAAGGTTCCTTAAAGGAGATTTTTTTTTTATTGAACCAGGTGAAACTAAGCTTTTCCACTTGAGGAGTTCTGGATAGAGCATACTGACAGAGAAAAAAAGATTTCTTATCTTAAATACAAAATGTTTACTTTTTTTTTTAACAATCTTGGTATAATTACTGATCTAAGTGGGTTGTTTTGTCAGTTAAAGACATGTTTTAGAGTCTCTATACTCCAGTTAATTGTTTAATAAATTAGTCGATGATTATTTCAATAATTGAATTATCACGATTAATCCCATTAAATGTTTCAGCCCAAATATATATATATAGACACATAAACCCCCATTTTTGTTTTTGAGTGTGTGCGTCGGGGCAAGTGATGACACTTCTAAAGGTAAAAAGAATACTAAGACTCTATTAATTAGAATCTGTTAAATGGGGCTCACTTTGTAAGATTAACAGTAACTTTTGGAATAGAGACCTTTAGTTAGCTTTCAAACAGGTTTTTTTGTAAGCCAACCTTTCAAGTTTTCAACCTTTAGCTTAAATGTGATGCTTTCATTATCTGTAAATGCAGAACAAACAGAAATAAAAGTTCTAAAACATTAGGCTCTGTGTAAAACAACCCATATAATGTGTTTCAACTAATGAACGTAGGACTGTATTGATGAGGAGCTCATCATCTGTTCTGTGTACATATAGAGCAGGTTTAATTTTGTCCCTTTAAGGCACCATTACCAGAAGGTTCTCTTCATGTTGGGACAGAATAGAAACTAAAATAACCCAGACCCCCCGTCCCTAAGTGAGGTCTAGAAGCACAAGATCTATATCCAGGCATTCAGCAAAGATCCTGCTGCATGGCTGGACAACTGATTGGATCAATTAGATGAGCCCTTGGATGATACGTTATCTACTGTAAATTAAGTTGGAAAAAAGTTAACAAGTCAAGAAAAAAAAAGGAAAAAAGCTAATTGAAAAGTTAAAAAGTTAAGAAGCCTAGTTAACAATTATATTTAAATTTATAAACTAAAAAATGTAAGTGCCAGTATCATCATTAATGCCTCTAAGGTTATGTTGGACCAAAAAAAAAAATGTGTTTCTTTCACTCTGACTGTTTTTCATGAATTTTGGGCAATATATTGCCTGAATATATTTTTCTTAATATTTTCTTAATATATATTTGGGCAAGATGGCGTTTCTTGTTATTACATGGACATTAATTTTTGCCATCAAAATATCCATTTTTTTTTTATGTTACAAAGGTAATAAGGTTTTGTCCTGGTTTCCAAAAACACTATTGGCTTGAAAAATTTTCAAAGTATTTCACTGAATTCTCTATAAAGGGTTAACAGAATAGATGAGAGAGAGTGATTATGTTGCTGTAATATCAAACATATTATGGATCTTTAAACATCTTTCACTAGGTGGGCCAAAAAGTAGTTGTCTAATCAAGAGATCTGTTAGTGCGACAGCCTGGTTTGGGTTTTTCTGGGACAAACGTACCTTTGGAGAGACGGGAAGAAATTGTCTGAAATAGACATTTCTGATGTGAGGTTTGGCTCTTTCATTGTCGCCTGCAAAGCAGAGCAAAGCAGACCAATAAACAGTCGTCGCTTAAAAAGACTTGAATTTAAATTCATCCTTTTACCTTTGAGGAGTCGCTCAGCTAAAACATTCATCGGTGCAGAGCTGTCCACGCACACCATCTCCTTCAAAGAGTCGCCCCAACATGAATGCGACGCCCTGCAGACAGGAGGGAGACAATCAACAAGCTGTTGGTGTGTTTAATGCAGACAAAGGTTTAGTTTTCTTTTCTAACCAACCAGGCGACGGTTCCTAAGCCGGAGCCGAAATCCAGGAGGGAGTGAGGAGCAAATGAAGGATCCCTCTTTTTAATCTAAAAAAAATAATAACAGTAAAACATAGATTTTTATAATCTGGACACTCTCTTTCCTCAACCATCCAAGTGCAATACACTACATAACTGTTAATTTAAGTTATTGTTTTGCTATAGCCCTCTGTATTTATTTGTCTATCCTCATCCCCCAATACATCTTCCTACATCTTATTTAATTGTTTTTATTTTTCTATTGTATATACTGTGCCTAAACATCCTCTATTTTCTTGTATGTCTATTTTTTTTTCCTGCTACTGGAAATACAATTTCCTGAAGGGAGTAATCCCAAGGGATTAATAAAGTCAAGTCTAAGTGTAAGTCTAAGTCTAAGTCTAAATTCAGAACTGGTTCAATCAGTTCAATGAGGCGTCATCCTGTTCAATCTACCTCATTTAGAGCTCTCCTCACTGCTGCATAGCCTCCAGCCAGCCGAGCCGCCATGTACACCACGCCCAGCTCTTCTTCGTACCTGAAACCAGGGTGGACATACTTATCTACTGAAGCTACGACATTCGGCGGCACAAAGATCAAGGCGAATGCTTGCTGTGTTACTTCAAGGGAGTCCAGCGATACGTGGTTCTTCTGAGCTCAGACAACACTTTCTTCCTGATGCGATCCTCGAGCAGTTGCTCATCGAAATCTGCAAAAATATCACAGTTAATGCCTCCTCCTCCTCCTTCTCCTCCCTCCAAGGTCGTCAGACTAAACAATTTTAGAAAAGTCTTCCTTCCCACAAAAATAGAATTTTTTATTGGGATTTTAGCCGATAAGGCGACACAAAATGACACATACAAGTAAAATTAAGGGAAAAATTATTCCTATTTTTTTTTTTTAAATGCTTAAAACTTGTGGCTTACATTTTGTTGTATTAACGCCCTAAATTGACTTCTAAAGTAACTCAACTGAAAGAGCCTTTTAGATGCACAGATACAATTGTCATTATTAACGATGTAGTATTTTCATTGTTTTATAATTTTCCCTCATAAGTCAAGTTTTAATTATCTTGTCCATTGTGTTAAAATAGCACCTAGAATATAAGTAATGTAACAAGGGGTAAGATTATTTCTTTAAAGGGGAACAGTGTTAGAGGCTTGCATTAGAGAGACACAGACAGCTGCGGCTGGAACAATGCACGCAGCTCCAAGCTGAATAACAACAACGGTCCTTTTTTTTTTTTTTGGATGCTGATTTTGCTTTATTCCAATACCTAAGGCTAAAAAATAAAATAAAATACAGCTCAGAAAAGGAACTGGGGCTTATTTTAGCTTAAAAACCAGCAGTCTCCCTTTGTTTTGTAGATTTTTATGTTATTATAGGTGTAAAAATTCTACATTTTGTTATATACACTGATTCTGAAAATTAGTGCAAAATACTTGCCTCATAAATGTTTTGTGGCCATCAAAATACTTCAGTGTTATTCGATGAGTCAAATAGTAAAGCAAAGCATAGTAAAAGCATTTGGCACATATGGAGATTTTTGGAGACGCCGGTGACACCAAAAGTTCAAAGCCCCACAGCTCTGGAAATGTTATAGCCAGAGGTCTGAAATCTTCTGCATTTGTGGTTGACATGATGTGGAACAAATGTAATAAAATGAGACCTGCCTTTTCTCAAAAATGTATTTATTACTCCTGTTTAAAAACAACCTATCATTTTTCGAGAATAAGAAAAACAACTTTGAGTCATGTTTGAACTGATGTAGCTTGGTCTGTGTTTACTCACCCAATTTTGCTTTCAAATATTGTATTGTACATTTAATTTGGGCTTACAGTTCCTAAGTTATTTGCTTTTCCATTTGGGTGTGCAAAATAGGCAAGAATTTCCCGAAATTAGGTGAATGTTAAGTTAAGGAATAGCATGCAGTAAGATCATAAAATGGCCTCAATCCTTCACCTCCGATCTTCTGCATGGCTTTCTCCCAGAGTTCCTTCTCCAGGCTCACAGCTTTCTGCCTCAGGGTCAAATCTTCAACCGCTCGCTTCCGGCTCCAAAGAAAGTTTGTGAGCTTCTGAACGCGCTCTGGAAGCTGTGGCACTTGTGCTTCTATATATGGAAACATAAGACTGATGTGTGAGAAAGCAATCTGTCCAACTGCTGAATAAAGAAGGTGTAAGGTAAGTTAAGGCAAGACACATATTAGGAAGGACATAAAAAAATTCAAAGTGATTTACACTAATTAAATATAAAAGAATGAAAATAAAATCAGAATAAAAGCGAGTTAAGATTAAAAAGTGATAAATGCAGATAGTAAAGCAAATAAAGCAGTTCACCAACAAACATAAAGTACCGTAGTAACGTAGTAGTAAACCTACTGTGAATAATGGACTGTGCAGCCACCTGGAGCTCTTCGGGTAGCCGCACAGTCTTCAGGTTTGTCACTCCTGGGTGCTTCCTGTGAGGTTCTCCTTTCAGGAAATCTGCCTTCGGCTTTGGTTGAGCTGCTGCACTCACAGTCTGGATGAAAAAAAAAAAAAAGGTACCAATGATCGGTTCCAGCACTTTAACTGAACCCAGCCTAGTCATAAATGCATCAGCAAACTCATAAATTAACAAAACCATACAATGGATTGATGCTGATCTAATTATCCCTTTTTGGAGGGGAGTGGAAGCCTGGTGGTTAGCGCCCCACTCCCACAGACTGCCACTGTGGGTCCCTGAGCAAGACCCTTAACCCCACACTGCTCCCCAGGCGCCCCACAATGGCAGCCCACTGCTCCCCAAGGGGATGGGTTAAATGTTAAAGGTTCTTTTCGCTGCCCTGTACTTGTGACAGTGTAATAACAATAAAAAAGCTGTAATATAATTATTGGATCAGGAAAATAAAATGTAATCTTACAGATTTTAGATATAGAGTCCTACATTTATAATTTATTATATATGGATAGGACGGGTGTAGAACTAGCCAGGTGACACAGAAGAGGGTAAATGACAATTAAATAAAAAGTAAAATGTGTTTAAAAGGCAACTGTTTCATTAATCCTGTCATCTGACCTCCACTGTAAACATGCTGCATTCAATGACACCCACTAACTTCACCCACCCTGATCATCATCTTCACCGCCGCCAGCCGCTGACAGAGGGAACAGGCCCCGTAGCTCCACGATGCCATGTCCTCGGTGTCACAAAAACAGACTTCAATTGCATTAAACTAAACAAGTGTTATCCACGCTTTTGTAAAGCACACTCTGCAATGGCCGAGTCACAGCAAAATAAGTCCGATCAACGGCTAAGGAGGAACCTCTTAACGAGAATGTTTGTTCCTACCGTAAAAGAAAACACGAAGAGGGCCCACTCTTTCTCATTCAATCTTACGGTTAACTCTATGAGAAAGTAGTGCCGTTATATAATTCATTTGAATGGGGTTCTGTTAGCTGACATTAAATAATATATACATTTATACAAGTTAGGAGATTACACAATGCAACGTGCGTGTCATTTGACTGTGAAAGAGATGTGGGTGTGAACCATCTGTATTTATAAACGATCTTTACCATCCTTAGCAGCAGTAGTCTGCTTCCCGCTCTGTGTTAGCCCCTCCGCTTCCGGTTTTTAGTTAACTAAATTATTTACCGCGGAACACTATGAGGAGAACCAGAGGTTCAAGGAAACAAACTCAGAGCGTTGACGAAAGCGATGAGGTCCAGGAAAAGAAAGGTTTGTGCTTTTTTTTTAGGCCAGTTTATGTTTGCATTTAAACATGTCCGGGCAGAGAACAGCGAGCCCGTAACACAAGGCTAGGGAGCAGTAGAGTTTGCAGAGTCATTTATTACTGCTCTATTGACTCTGAAGGGTTTATACAAAGTCCACTTAAAGTCCATATAGTAGAAGCTTGAAAGAAAGCCCCCTCAGATCAATATCAGGGAGTTGTGACGAGTAGTGATGGGTTAATGAGGCATCTTTGAAGCGTTTCGACTGATAGCCAAACTGCTTTGATGCTGCGTTGATACTCTCTCACAGAATACTGACACCTATTGGACATTTTAAGAAACTACAGGCAGCTTATCGGACAGACTAAAATGAATTGATTTGATGACGTAGTGTATGGAGGACCAACTCTGCCATATTTAAAAATCAATACAGAAATAAATAAATGCTCAATAAATAAAAATGCATACAATTATTTGCTACCAAAAATACAATAAGCAAATAAATGTAGGTTGAAATTAAACTATACAGTGAGACATAAATGTATATAACTCTTTTAATTAGCTTCTTTATTTATTTGCATTTGTAATATTTACCTTATTTATTTTTTTTGTCCTTTATAATCTTCAACTTTATTTTTTAATTACTTATATTTTTAAGTATTTATTTGTGTGCATGTTATAATATTTTTGTCTGTTTATTGTTCCTTTGTATTTTTTTTTACCTTAGTTATTTCTTTTCTTCCTTCGCTATTTATTTCTGTCTGCCCTTTTTACTTTTCTCTATGCATTTCTGCATCATTATGCAAATGAGGAGGGGGTGTTTCCTAGAGAATCAACTTCTGCTCATTGGTTGGCTTGGCGGTCCATCTTAACTCACAGAGCTCAGAGTATTAAGTTAAATGTTCTCAATAAAAGTACATTTTAAGATTATTTGAGGCAAGAACATACTTTTAAGCATCTCCATATGGCCCATTCACAGATTTAATGCGTAATTTAAAAGAAAATGTTCTGAACTTGAGAGGACCGCGGCACCAATTAATTGTATGCTTATTTATTTATTGAGCATTTATTTATTTCTGTATTGATTTTTAAATATGGCAGAGTTGGTCCTCCATACAGACTAAACTGAATTGATTTGATGACGTAGTGCAGGGGTAAGCAATTAAAAATCAGCGGGGTCTGAAAAAAGAAAATCAACAACTTGTAAAGGTCCGGAGACAATTTAATTATAATCTGTTACTTTAAACAGAATATAAAACTTAAATACAAAGCAAGTTTTTATACATCTATGTTATACATTGGGTATCTAATAAAAGTATATATTGAAAACATTTTTTTTTAAGTACAGAACAAGAATCTTTCAGTTTGCTATTTAGACAAATTTTGTGATTCACATATTTTATAAAACACCTGAACTGACCGTTTGAAGTGACAGCAGCTCATTGACTAATTTGTATCACGTGCAGCCTGGTGCTGGACGCTCCAGAGGGCTTTACCATATTAACCAGAGAAGCGGCGCATGTGAAGTTAGACCCTGTCGTTGAACAACATGCGGTCATTTATAAATGTTTTAAATCAGATTGCGTCCGGATAAGCCAGAAGGTGGGTCCGGATCCGCGACCTCTGACCTAGTACAATGATATAATTTATGTTATTGTAGGTTATATTGTATTATTTCATATCTATATTTAAATTGAGCCAATAAATAATGTAAACATATATTAAAATTAGAAAAATTAGGGGTAAATGTGAATGAGGATGGTTGTGGCCTTGGATTTTAAATCATATTTAAAATTAAAATCATAAAACAGTAAGTAAAGTAAAAACAGTAAATATACTAAGAGTCAATTTGAAATAAACTTTAATTCCAATAACTTGAGTGATGACTGAGGAACAGGAAGAAACTACAAGAAACGGCTGAAAGGTTCCTATTCCTTTTAGGCTGCTCCAAAATTCTTGATCATTTTAATAATAAACCGCAAAAGATGAGAAATTTTTTTAGCAGATGCAATATGTTGACAGATTTATTTTTAAACACGGTTTAGTGTTTCAGTCTGTTAGAAACAATTCCTGTATCGGTCACATGAAACAACATGTGCCGATAGAGTTTTGCTCTATGGGCTCCACGCATGCATCTATCTCTGTGCGTGACCACGCCCCCCGCACAGAGGTTCTGCAACCGTCGTTGCGCACCTCAAAAAAACCCTGACTACACGTCGGAAAATCGCAAACCAGTGAAGACCTCAAGCGGAAGTGTGCAGATAAAAAGCAGCTGGGATTGGTCCTCGGTTTGCCTTTCCGCCTGTCTGTGTGGTCATCCTTCTCAATTCGGTGCCGGGGCGTGCCATTTTTAAAAACCGAGGAGTAATAACAAATGAATAACCATGACAAAAGGTTGATCCATTAGGTTGGGAAGTACAACTCTTGTATGATGCCTCAGACATGTTGTTTTGAAAGATAAACACTCCCACCGGTGCAGCCGAAGAAGTTCTCGTGACCATCCGCTAAAGTTCTTGAATAGAACCCGAGAGAAGGGCTCCCCCTTGTGCTTTGTTCTTGTTCTGCTGTGTTCCTGTGTGGAAGACGGGTGACTTTCCGCCTGGACTAGCCAGTCTCAAGTTCTAATGCTCCTCTCTAGAAATGAAAACAATGCTGACATCATCAAAGGGAGGAACAACATAGATTTGCATGCAAAGGAAGCCTAAAAACAAGCCTGTGTAAATCACAGCAAATTGAACATTACTAGCCTGTATGACCCATCTAGTTGCCCATTTGTTGATTCCTTCCCTCCCTTTAAAAAAAAAAACTAGGCCATGTTTTTTATTGTCTTTTTCTGTTTAAATTGTTCTATTTGGATCTTAGCTTATTGATTTTGTCTTAAATGAATCGAGGAAAAGGTAGCAGCAGCTCTCATGACTCCTGTTTGTTCCCAGTTTGGCAGTGGAGAGGAGATGACGGGCAGTGGGAGGCGTACCCAGATGCAGCCTGCTCCGTGCTGGAATCTGCTGTCTCGTCTGGGAAGAAAACGATTACTCTGACTCTTGGTGCAGGCAGGAAGTACAAAGTCGATCTGGAGAAAATGATCCAGATTAATCCTGCAACCAAATACAAGAGAGAGATTCGCTGTCAGGCGGTAAAAGAAGGTAAAAGGAGAATTCATTTGGTATCTGTTACGACTTTATTCTCTTAACGTTACGAATTTATTCTCTTAACTTTACGACTTTATTCTAGTAATGTTACGACTTTATTCTCTTAATGTTACGACTTTATTCTCGTAACTTTACGACTTTATTCTAGTAATGTTACGACTTTATTCTCGTAACATTACGACTTTATTCTAGTAACGTTAGAACTTTATTCTCGTAACGTTACAACTTTATTCTAGTAATGTTACGACTTTATTGTCGTGACGTTACAACTTTATTCTAGTAATGTTACGACTTTATTCTCGTAACGTTACGACTTTATTCTCGTAACGTTACAACTTTATTCTAGTAATGTTACGACTTTATTCTCGTAATGTTACGATTTTATTCTCGTAATATTACGACTTTATTCTAGTAATGTTACGACTTTATTCTCGTAACTTTACAAATTATTCTAGTAATCTTACGACTTTATTCTCGTAACGTTACAACTTTATTCTAGTAATCTCACGACTTTATTCTCGTAACGTTACAACTTTATTCTAGTAATGTTATGACTTTATTCTCGTAACGTTACAACTTTATTCTAGTAATGTTACGACTTTATTCTAGTAATGTTATGACTTTATTCTCGTAATGTTACGACTTTATTCTCGTAATATAACGATTTTTTTCTCGTAATTTTCCGACTTTATTCTCGTAATGTTACGACTTTATTCTCGATATAGAAGCAAAAAATCTCTAGCCTGGCCTTAATACTCGTACGTCATACATAACCCCACAGTAAAAACGTAACAAAAGTTCTGGGGGAAATCCCTGAATATCCTATGATCACGATCAGAGGGTAGCGATCCGCGCCGAGTTCGGAATTAGCTACGATGATCAGTTAACCGTGCCGAGCTCAGTTCCTTATGACCATTTACACACCACCCTAGCACGGTTCCTCGCCTCCTAACGAGGATCTATGGTTCTACTATTCTCTAGAGGTAAACCAGCATATCAATACTGACCCCCACTACAAGCAAGCATGACCACTGATTTGTATCCATTTTCACAAATCTTTACCTGCTCTTTAAATGTCTCTTCATCCACTCCAGAAATTTTGCAATTAAGCTGAGCAGAAAGGGAAAGATATGAGTTGGTCAGTTAGCTGCTTTCTGTTCAATTGAACCTGAACTGAGCTAAAAGATTATTTCACACATTCCTAACAATTTTTCATTCTCAAAGAATTTGCTCCCTAATTTTTCTTTGATTTATTTCACATATAATCTTTGCAAAGCTGTACTGGATTGAAGTCTCTTTTTTCCCCTGTCTGAATAAAGAAAATTTAAATGAAGACAACAAAGAAGCCTCTCAAAATGGAGCTCCAGCTCAAATTAAAGAGGAAGAGGAGGAGGCAGCGGAGGAGCCGGTGGTTAAGAAGAGAAAAGGGCAAAGCAAGGCTGCAAAAAAACCCAAAGAGGAAATAAAAACGGAAGGTAAGAGGATTAAAGGAAAAGTCTGGTCAACAAGGAATAATCGATATGTTTGTGGTGATTTAATGAATTTATCATTAATCAGTAGAAAAATAAAAATAATTTTCATTGCGATCCCTGAATCTGGAAGCAGCCTTTTTTGCCCAAATATAGTAACACCTCACTCCTGACATCTTCCGGCAGTGACGTCACGGTGCGGTAAGCCTAGCGCCATTCTCCCCGCTTTACAAGCAAAATCAATGGAACTACTGGACACATCTGCATTCAACAATTATTGGACTTCACCATTGAAATTCACAATGCCCACGTGGCAGCTGGATGTAATATTGAGTAAAAGTGGAAAAATGAATTATTTCACCTTTCCGATTCCTGACCCTCCACGGTTCGCACAATTGGCAACATGAAGAGGGAGGATTTGCCATTAAACTCCTGGCCAGAGAAAAAAACACGTAATATGTAGCCAACATTTGGAAGAAGAATGTTTTCAAGATGACTTGGATAATAGCGCGTTGTTACAAACACCAGATACAGCACTGGGACTTGATCAACAGCCGATACCGCACTGTGACGTCACAAACCAGTAGGTGGCAGTAGTGTTCTTTGACAAACATGGATATCTCCAGTAAAGCACATTGAAATTAAAATTACTGTTACGGTAATTAAAAATACTGTGTATTTATTGAACAGTATGTGATAATTTCATATTTGAAGTACTTTCAGAAGTTTGAATTCTGAATATGAGCGGACTTTTCCTTTAAATGTATCAAATGGCAGACTCATAAACAACCAGTAATGCATTTAAAGATCATGAATTGAGTTTAGACTTAGTTCCTGCTGCCTTGCATTAAAGGAATGTGTCTGTTTGCTGAGCAGAAGTGGTGAAGACGGTGGTGATGAAGGGAAAAGCTCCAGTGGATCCTGAATGCAAAGCTAAACTTGGACAGGTGGGTGTTCATAGTCAAACAAGCTGCTCTGTCCCATCTAAGCAAGGCCCACAGAGTCCCCTGAAATCTGGGGACTAAGTCGATAAAAGTCCCTTCCTTTAAATCAGGGGAAAATATTTGAAATTCAGCTCAGTTGAATGTTTTTTTTTTTTTCTTCAGTTTTATGCAAAGGTAAGACAATATAGCACTGTGATGTGTAACCAACAAGGAAAAACTTATGTCAACTTATGAATCACATCAAACAGAAATATCCTGAGGGATGGTTATAAACATATCCCCTGTGGAGAAAAAAATGGTTATTCCTGTAAATTAAGTCTGGGAAAAAGAAAAAAAAAAACGAGGAAAATAGACAACAAAGCCCTAAAAGTTATATAAATACAGACTCTAAAGTCCAGTAACAATATAATCCTGTTTCCCCCCTTATCGGGGCAACAGTGCAATAAAACGCAGCCTGCATCAGCAGCCTCTTGATAAGCTAAACAGGCTATGTAAACCAAAATAAGCTGATATCATTTAATTAGTGTTCCCCCCCACAGGTTTGTTTACAACAGCCACCTGCCTAGCATAGTGCTGAAACGTGTGGCAGGCAATGACACAAACCTTTGTTGCTAGAAATGTTTACATTTATTGTTTACATTTATTTATTATGCAAATTTTGACAACATTTGTCTTCCTACACACTATATAGAAAGACAGACTTTTATTTTGACTTGAAAAGTTGTAGGGAAGCGGCTGTTCTAACCGTTGCATTTCCGAATTCTCCTGAGTGATGTACGACTTTACACAAGTAAATAAAGTGAATGTGATTGGTCGTTTATCAAGAGGGCGGGATTGTTGTGGCGGAAGGTTCGCAAGCACGTTTGGTTGTGTCCGGTTTGTCAGAAGCATCTTGCTAACCAGTTAGCAACTTAGTGTTAGTAGGTTCCCAATGGGAAATTCCATTGGGACCATGTAATACTTAGAAACGACGCTATCAAGGAACGCTATGGACAGAGGAAACATGCAAGAGGAGGAGAGTTTACTGTCAGAGGTCGTGGATGAGTCTCCTCCGTCATCCATTCTTTATTTAGAGGAGGAAAGCTGGGACGAAGTTCTGGAAGAGGACGCCAGGGCGGCAGAAGCTTGGTTTGGTGTAGAAGGCTTCCAGCCGTACATGTTTAAGCCCTTGCCTCGCAACGCTGCCAGTTCTGTTAGCTCTACGCCTGCTGAAGACACAGACGTCCATCCCCGTGAACACTGGGAAAGGAACTCAATGGGAAAGGAAATGATTCTTATTTCAAGCATTGCGTATATTAGCTGCGACATAAGAATCAAGATGCTATGACCAGAAGAATTTGATTGACTGATGATTGTTGATATATGATTGGCTGAATTTAGGTGTAAAAGCTGACGTATAACTAACTGGTCTGCAGAAGATAACGGGGGAAAAAAACACAGATTTTAAGACTTATAAGATTTATATACTTGTTTAAGCCAGAATGATTTGACATTTGAATATGACACTTTTTTTACACAATTCAAAACATATAACCAATGATTAATATACAAAAAGTGTGAGTTAAAAATCATTAAATGAGGAGCTTGTTGAACTGTAGTTGTTCTTCATCTGACACATTAGATAAAATGTTAAAACCCCACAACTGAATAAAATCCTCCATGTTCTGTGTGGCTCTGTGGAAGTGGAAAGAAAGAAGGAAAGCAAGATAGAGGAGGAAAGAAAGAAAGTAGATCCTTTTGCATTTAAAAAGCTCCAGTGAGCCACAAGGGGGCACTAAAGAGCCACAGATTGCCGGCCCCTGCTCTAGTAGACAGGAGCCACTTTTCATTTACTGAATACTAACAATGGTTTTGCAAATCAGTTAATCTGTCCATTATTTAATTTATAGTTTATATATATATATAAACTATTTTTTCAATAATCAATTAATCGGAATGTTTCAGCCCTCCCTGCCTGCCGCCTCTTTTCCCTAAAGCAGCGTTGTCAATTTTTACCCTAGTATTAGCTTAATTTAATATATATATTAAATGTTTGTTTAGGTAATTATTACAGCAGCTGCTGCCTATCGATGCTCATCAGTTCACAATCTTTCGGTCTTATTATAACGTCTGTTTGCATCCTTCTTCCAGGCTCACGTTTACTGTGAAGGAGATGATGTGTATGATGTGATGCTGAACCAGGTAAAATAAAAACTAAATCTTTTCTTTTTTATCATTCCTGCAATAAGTCATTAAAATATGAAAAAAGGAAAGTTAAAATCTGAGTCTGCAGATTGAACCTGAAAATAAAATAATAAAAGAGCTCCTAGGAGGCTGATTGGATGATTTCTACTAATTAAAGACTAACTTTAATTTGTCTTTAGCTTGATTAATGTTCCATAAAAAAAGGATTATTAATAAAGCCTCTGGTTTTATTTTATTATGTAGGAAACCTAAATAAACCCAGCATTTACACTACTTCTAAAAAACAATAAATTTTCATTTAATTGTTATTTTCTTTTCTTTAACTTTGCAGACTAATCTCCAGTTTAACAATAATAAATATTACCTGATCCAGCTGCTGGAGGACGACGGCTCTAAAGTTTACAGCGTCTGGATGAGGTGGGGAAGAGGTGAGTTCATGGTTCAAGCCGACGGCTCAGCAGCACAAAGAAAACTCCTGTCCTTTGATTGACTGTTTCTTTCCACAGTGGGTAAAGTGGGTCAGAACAGCCTGGTTTCCTGTGGCTCAGATCTGAAAAAGGCCAAAGATGTTTTCAAGAAAAAGTGAGATTGTCAGAGAGAAAAGAAATGCATTTTCTCCAAGCTTTGCAAAATGATATTTTGAGTGAATTTTTGTAATGCTGCAGGTTCTACGACAAGACGAGCAACGACTGGGATTTAAGGGATTGTTTTGAGAAGGAACCTGGAAAATATGACCTGGTGTTCATGGACTACAGCGCCAATGAAAAGGTGCATTTAGTTTAAACCAGGGAGCCAGCCTCCTATTATCAAAAGGCCATATTTGTGAAGAGGAATATATTAAATGGTTTCCCTCTGCAGGATTGCTCAGATGATGTTGTAATTTAAAATAATGAGGTTTATTGAGAGAGAACGTCTGGGTTCACATGGAGTCTGAAAAAGGACTTGGTTGGATTATTCTCCATGATTTGATTCTATCTAGATTAGGGCTGCAACTAATTATTTTGCAAATCGATTAATCTGTCAATTTTTTTTCCCCCCGATTAATTGATCAATAATCGGATTGCTTAAGGTTCCTTAAAGAAGATTTTACACAGAATCAAACCAGGTGAAAATAAAACTTTTCGACTTGTGAAATTCTGGATAGAGCATCTTAATAGGAGAAAGTTTTTATATTAAATGCAAAATATTGATATAGTTTTTCATAATTTTGTTATAATTCCTGCTCTAAGTGGGTTTCTCTGTCAGCTAAAGGCGTGTTTTACAGTCTCTATACTCCAGTTAACTATTAATCAATTACTAAATTAGTTGACTATTATTTCAATAAGGGATTAATTGTATTATTTTTTTTTTTAGCCCTAGTTGGATTTAATTTGATCTGAATTAGCAGGGAAAAACAAAAAGAATGAGATAATATTTGTTTCTAGATTGTTTTCCTTATCCTACAGTCTATGTCCTTCCTTTGGTTATTTCATGTTTATACAGTTTCTGTCCTTGTTTTCTTTCCTTCTCTGCTTTGTGTTGCTTCTGTTTCCCCTTCAGATGTGACTTATTTCCTAATAGCCCGCCCTTCCATCCTTCCTTGCTCCTTCCTTCCTTCTAATGCTGCTTCCTTCTCTCCTTCGTTCAATTGCTTCCTTCTTTCCATCGTTTCCTTCCTTCCTTCCTTGCTTGCTTTATTCCTTTCTTCCTTCCTTTCTTACTTTCCTTCCCTCCTTCCTTTCTTGCTCCTTCCTACCTTTCAATCCTGCTTCCTTCCTTCATTTCATTGCTTCCTTCTTCCTTTGTTCCTTCTTCCTTTGTTCCTTGCTTGCTTCCTTCCTTTCCTTCCTTCCAATGCTTGCTTCCTTCCTTCCTTCCAATGCTACTTCCTTCCTTTCTTTGTTTCATTGCTTCCTTCTTTCTTTCGTTTCCTTGCTTCCTTCCTTCTTTCCTTTGTTTCCTTTCTTGCTTCCTTCCTTCTTTCCTTGCTTACATCCTTCAGTTCCTTCCTTGCTTGCTTCCTTTGTTTCCTTCCTTCCTGTATATTACCTTCTTTCCATGCTTGTGTCCTACTTTCCTTTCTGATTTTCTTTCTTCCTTTAAAGCCTTGTGTTATCCATCATAACATCGTTGTCAGCATTTTTATTTTGGAATGGACTGTTTAGGGCTGAGAAATCTGGAAATGTAGGTCAGGAAAAGTCAAACATTTTCAAATAAAAACTCAGTAGGAACCCTGAGAGGTGTAGATGGGTCACCTAAATCAGATCTAATGAAGCAACTAAACCACCTGTTCTTTAATCAAGTGTATAGAGATGAAAGCAAAGTGACCAGCCTGATGGATATAAAACAAACGGTTTGTTTTCCTTCAGGAGGAGAACAGAACAGCAGTCGACTCTGTCCTCAAAAAGCAGCCGTCCAAGCTGGATCCTAAGGTTTACTCTCTCCTCGAACTCATCTGTGACATAAAAGCCATGGAGGAGTGTGTGCTGGAGATGAAGTTCGACACTAAAAAAGCTCCTCTGGGTCAGTCAGGCTTAGATGGATCAAATGGAAGGGAAGGTACGCTGGGACGGATTATCAAAAACACGTAATCTTTCTACCTCCAGGAAAACTGACCCAGGAGCAGATCCGTGCCGGGTATGAAGCCCTGAAGGCTATCGAGTCGTGTTTGAAGAAAAAGGGCAGCGCCCGGAATCTGCTGGAAGCCTGCAACGCGTTTTACACCCGCATCCCTCATGACTTTGGGTAAGAAATGAAGAATCTACCGCTGTAAAGTGAGGAAAAATTCTAACGATAGAAAATATATTCTCCAGGTTAAAACCTCCCCCAATGATTAAAACGGAGCAAGAACTGAAGGAAAAAATAGCTCTGCTGGAGGTAAAACATCTCAGCCCCGTCAGGGAAAGTTTCACTCATCTGCCTCATCGTTTTAAAGCTACAATATAAAATCATAACTTTTGTTTTTTAAGGCACTGGGTGATATCCAGATTGCAGTGAAAATGGCCCAGTCCAATGCAGACAGTGATGAGCATCCACTGGACCGTCAGTACCGCTCCCTGCAGTGCCAGCTGCAACCTTTGGACCACAGCAGCCATGAGTTCAAGGTTGGTTTGATCTGAATGATTAACGATAAAGAGCCTAAAGGTCACAATGAAGGAAAATGAGTTAAAATTTAATTTTTATACATTTTATCCACTTTTTTCAACACAAGTTCTTCGTTTTCTTATCAAAATACTGACTCATTGTAGCCAGCAGGGGGAGCCAAAGAGCCTTTAATAAATAGTGAATTATGTGAAGCTGCTGCAAGTCAGCCAGGTAAAAATAATGAAGTTTAGTTTGAATTGATTTAATATTTTAGAAAGTTCCACGTTTAACTGTTCAGTTGTGTTTTTTTTACATAAAAATTTTAATAATGATATAAAGAAAAATTGAGTTTATAGCAATCATTAAGACTTTGTTAGCTTCCCTTCTGATCATTATTTTAAGTTGAATGCAATTAAATTGATCCTTTATATGGAGCTTAAAAAACAGCTTAAGAAAGGATTTGGCCAAATGTTTCTGGCATATAAATAGTCGGGCTTCTCACAGCTCCTTGAACTCTTAAAGTCATTGGGAAAACATATTTAAATGTCAAAGCATTCTGACTTAAACATGTATATAAATGCATTCTTTATCTGATGAAAATGTCTCAAACTTAGAACATTTCTATTTAAAAAAAAGCATTTTTTGTTATCTCATGCAGGCCAGTTAGTTATACGTCAGCTTGAACACCTAAATTCGGACAATTGTATATCAACGGTCATCTGTCTATCAAATCAAACAGTTGAAATAAGAATCATTTCCTTTCCCATTGAGTTGCGTCCCAGTGTTCACGGGGATGGACGTCTGTGTCTTCAGCAGGCGTAGAGCTAACAGAACTGGCAGCGTTGAGAGGCAAGGGCTCAAACATGTACGGCTGGAAGCCTTCTACACCAAACCAAGCTTCTGCCGCCCTGGCGTCCTCTTCCACAACATCTTCATCCCCGCTTTCCTACTCTAAATAAAAAATGGATGACAGAGGAGACTCATCCATGACCTCAGACACTAAACTCTCCTCCTCTTGCATGTTTCCTCTGTCCATAGCGTTCCTTGACAGCGTCGTTTCTAAGTTACCAATTTAGTGCTACTTGGTCCCAATGGAATTTGCTACTAGCACTAAGTTGCTAACTGGTTAGCAAGATGCTTCCGAGTTTGAATTTGGAAAAAAAGCACATTTCTGAAATAATTTTTAAAAGCAACATAAAAAAAACATTGAAAGACCTTAAAACTTGGGTGGGTGATAAACGCTGTCAAATTGTCAGTTTTATTTGTGTTTTTTATTTATTTATTTTTCAGAGCTGCAGTCTTATGTTTCCCCTAGCTTTTTTTATTGTCATTACTCTGTCACAAGTACACAGGAACATTCTCTGCATATAATCCATCCCCTTGGGGAGCAGTGTGGGGTTAAGGGTCTTGCTCAGGGACCCAGATTGGCAGTCTGTGGGAGTGGGGCTTGAACTCAGAACCACAGGATCCTAACTTCTATGCCCTAACACAGCCCTCCCCAACCTTTTTTGCGCCACGGACTGGTTATATGTGAGACAATATTTTCACGGACCGGCCTTCAAAGTGTGGGGGGGTAAATACGATCAAGTAAAATGATACGACTGTCATAAAATCAAATACAAACAGCATAAAAATAAAACTCACTATTATGTTGAATTAGTGGGAGCCCTGAGCTTGTTTCTTTGAAAAAAGCCGGTCCCATCTAGGCTTAATCGGAGACGATGACACACGAAGTGTGCTCCTGATGTCCAGTTTGCTCCGTTGCTTTGTTTTGGTCGCTGTAACCGCAGAAAATCCCGCTTCACAAAGATATGATGTTATAGACAGGATGCATCTTGACCTGAATTAACCTGTGTCAAGAGGCGCAGATGCACCGACTGATGTAATTGGGAGGGAATACCCCAATTTTTTATATTTTTCAAAATAAAACATCACTTAGACTCTGATCGTCGATAAATTATATATACATATAGTTTTTCTGTGCGGTCCGGTACCAAATGACCGATGGACCGGTACCGGTCTGCGGCCCGGTGGTTGGGGACCGCTGCCCTAACACACTAGACCACCACTCCCCTACAAGTCAGTATAGTAAACCTCCAACTTCTTCGTTGGTTAAAAAAAACCAGCAAATGCATCAGTGTGCGTTTTCTTCTTGCGGGTGAATTGATAGATTCCTAGTCGGCCATGAAGTCAGTGTGTGATTAAGTTCGTACAAAATGCTAATTTCAGGGTCCATGGCTTATCAAAGGAAGAAGTTATGCTAAGTGGTTAACAAAGGACCCAAAAAAAATTAACATCCTGCTAGGTGGGGGGCCGCTGCAAATGAATCACATTGATCAAACAGAGGGAAAAATTTGTTGTTAATAGTGAAAGTTAGGTAATTTTCTTAATTTAACTACCCAATAATTATAAAGAAGTCGCTAATGTTACAAGGAAAGTCAAGATGGGATAAATGATGAATTTCTCTTTGGGATTAATTGAATATTTTTAAATTGAATTGAATGAATATTATCAGAATCACTAAAGATTCAATCCACTTTTTATTAAAACTAATATAACTTTTCTTTTTATTATTAAGCTTCTTATTTAAATCATTTATTGGTGACGTATTCGGTTGTAGCAGAAGGTAAATGCTGCAGGGTTTGGCCCTTAAATGTGAGAGAATTGGTCCATAAAATGCTTGAGTTCCACGTTAATCGAGGTTTGAGAACCCGACTCTGTGGTTAGCAGCAAAAAACAAACTAATGAATGAAATCGGTTACTTGAAATCAGGTGGAAGTCCCATTGAGTCGTCTGACCTCATCTTTCTGTGACTCTTTAAAGCTTCACAGCAGCAAAAAAACAGTTTCCTCCACTGTTTGGAAAACAGATTAAAGTGACAAGAACAGACAGCAAAACCTTTAGGAGTATTACAGGGCTTTTTTTAGAACATCTTTTATTTTTCTGGCTAAGATACAAACTTTTAGATAACTTTCTCATCTTTAGAAACATTCAGAATGTGTTCCAGGGGGGACAAGACAAGGGACTCAGACTTGCAGTCTCAGCAAACATAACAAACACAGCAAACACAAAATCTCAAGGTTCAGTCAAAGTTTAAGCTGTTGAAGCTGTTCACCAAAGTTCAGCAGGTTGAGTGCTGCTCGTAAATCAACCACAACCTCCCCAAAAGCAAGTTCACAAATCACAGTATACTTCAGAAAAGGTGGCTATGAAAACATGCACACAGCTTTATGCATGATAACACTACACAGATACATTTATATACAATTATTCTAACAAGGACTTTAACGCTTTTTAAAATCTCTTTCCTCCTCTCTTTGCGCAGCTGATAGAGAAGTACCTGCAGTCCACTCACGCCCCCACTCACCGCAACTACACCATGACGCTCCTCGACATCTTCTCTGTGGACAGAGGCGGGGAGAGCGACAGCTTCCTCTCACACTTGCATAACAAGTGGGTAGAACCAGAACCGCTGTTGATTTGGCTCCGCCCATTGGTTTTCACTTCCACTCGTTTATGTCCCTGTTGTTGATGTGTGTTTGTGTTTTGACCAGGACTCTCCTGTGGCACGGCTCCCGTCTGACTAACTGGGTCGGCATCCTCAGTAAGGGGCTCCGAGTGGCGCCGCCGGAGGCTCCCACCACCGGTTACATGGTACTAGGGAGCATCTTCTTTCTGAAGAATTTATTAACTTCTTTTAAATTTGAATTCTCTTTAAATGTTTTATAAAGGACTCAATCAGAATTGCACATTAACGGTGTTTAGCTTAGCAGTAAAAGTAGCAAAGATAGTCGGAGTAAAATCTGTTTTCCATAGGTTTTGGTTTTTACTGAGCCTGAATAAATGCAGAAAGCTCTAGAAACAGAGCAAGTAAATAATATTTACCATATATTCCAGATTTGAGCTCATTCTTTACATGATCTATTCTCCAGTTCTTCCTTCCTCTGTCCGTCCTTCCCTCCTTTGTTCCTTTCCTTCCATCTCCCTCGAGTCTTTCCTTTCCTTCTTTTCCTTTCCTCTCTAATTCTTTTTTCCTTCATTTCCTCCACTGACTCTTATACCCTTTTTCATATCCTTCATTTTTCTATTTTTCTTCCCTTCTTATTTCCTTTTATTAATCCTTTGGTTTAGATTCCTCACATGCCAACAACCCCAATATCTACCCTCCATAACTAATTAACTTTACAGGAAAAAACGTATCAAACATTTTTGCTGTGAGCTCTAAATGATTTCCTCACAGACTCACATTATTGCACAGGAACTTATTGCAATTTCCTATTTCCTTTTTAAAACGTTGAAACCTTTTTTTCTAGCTGGTGCCAGGCTCTGATGAGCTGAATTTCCACATTTGATCCTGTGTTGAAAGCTACCAGTGAGCCAAGCTTAAAAAAGAAAAAAATAAATAAACGAAAGCACAGAGAGACAGGAAAGAAAAATGTTTTTGCTTTTGTAATGAGTACGATGGGGTGATCAGTGTATCGATTAAGCTAATTTGTGCAGCAGGATTAGGAATTAGTTCCCAATATTAACATGTAATTTGGATGATTGTGGGAGAAGAAAAGGAAACCATGCATCTTTCTATTCTAATTCAAACATTAAATTTATTAATTATAGATTAATCTGATTAATCAACTAACTTGGTAATCGATTGATCACTAACTTGACTTTAGAGAGCGTAAAGCATGCCTTTAGCTGACAGAGCAACCCACTTAAAGCAGTAAAAATATCAAGATTGTAAAGAAAATATGGGAATATTTTGCATTTAGGATAGAAAATCTTTTTTGTGTGTCAATATGCTTTATGAAGAACTCCTCAAGTGGAAAACTTTTAGATTCACCTCGTTTGATTTAGCAAAAAGTCTTCTTTAGGGAACCTTTTCTATCGGATTATTAATGGAGAAAATTATTGACAAATTGATTTGGAAAATAATTAGCTGAAGCCTTTATTATAAAACATAAAGATAATATCTCATTTTTTTCCTTTTCAGTTTGGTAAAGGCATCTACTTTGCAGACATGTCTTCAAAAAGTGCCAACTACTGTCATACCAGCCAGAGCAACCATGTGGGGTTTCTGCTGCTGTGTGAGGCGAGTAAAAATGTCTTTCCGTAACCATGAAACGTGTTTTCCTGAAGAATCCTCATTCTTTAAAACTCTTGATATTTGTCATACTGTTTGTTGAGGGATGCGCGGTGACGCCATGCTGAATGTTTTGCCCTCATGTTTAACTCGGCGCTATCATATATGTCAACATGTTTGTCTGCAGGTGGCTCTGGGTGACTGTAACGAGCTGCTGGACGCCGACTACGAGGCCCATAACCTGCCTCCTGGAAAACACAGCACCAAAGGCCTGGGTCAGACCGGCCCTGACCCCAGAAACGCCGTAACGCTGTCAGTTTCTCTGATTCTGACTTCACTCTGTCATTTCCTGTCTGCCTGTGTGTTTCCCATTTACAATTACCTGGGTAAATCAGACCTTTGCTACAGAGAATCCCAGTTTGCTGTAGAGATAGAAAAACGCAGCTTGATGCTGAATTATCCGTTCTGTTATGACTCGGCCTCTGATGGCCTGAGCTGTCTTCACTCCTTTTGTTCTGCTTTTCCTCTGCAGCGTCCACTGATCCAGCAAAGCTGAGATTTAATAGAGTAAAAAAAACTGATAGTTAAAATCAGTCAGCATGGAGACGGTCTGTGCAGATGTTTCTAAGAACTCTAAGAATGGGCTGGTTTGGGTTTAAAGCCCCACCCTCTTAAAGGAGAAGTCCGGCCAGCAAGGAATAATCAATGGATCATTATCTATACCTAAACTTAACACGTTCACGGTGATTTAATTAACCCTTTAAAGCCCGATCCAAGAATAAAACAAAACAGAAAAATCCTTTTTTTGGTTTGAAGTCCTTATTTGGCCTTTTAACAAAATATGTAAAAAGAAAAAACAGAAATACATTTTTGATATTAATAATTTATTACTATGCGATAAGTCAAGATTTTTTTTGTGTGCAGTCTTCTGCCCTCTGTTATCAGGTATATCTGATTGTGTACAATAAGATTTTGAGCAAAGTTTTTACCGTTAAATTATGCAAAAGGTGTCAGATGCAAAACATTTCAGAAACCCTATGTATCAAATATGATACATTTGGCATTACAGGGTTAATTTAGCGTTAATCAGTAAAAAAATAGAAACAATTTTTCATTGCGATCACTGAGTTCGGGAGCGGCCATTTTTGGCCAAATATAGTAACACCTCAGTCCTGCCATCTTCCTGCAGTGACGTCACGGTGCGCTAAGCCTAGCCCCATTCTTTACAAGCTAAATCAATTCGAGCTACTACACACATCTGCAATCAACAATAATTATTAAAGAATTCCAGAGGACTTCATCATTGAAATTTACCAGAGCTATAGTTAAACCTTTCCGATTCCTGATCCTCCACGGATGGTTTGTCGTTGGCCAACTTGAAGAGGGAGGAATTGCAATCAAACTTCTGGCCAGAAAAAAAAACACGTAATATGTAGCCAATATTTGGAAGAATAATGTTTTCAAGATGACTTGGATAATAGCGCGTTGTGACAAACACCAGATACAGCACTGGGACTTGCTCAACAGCCGATACCGCACCGTGACGTCACAAACCAGTAGGTGGCAGTAGAGTTCTTTGACAAACATGAATGCCTCCAGTAAAGCACATTCAAATGAAAGTTACTCTTAATTAAAAACACTTATTTATTGAAAAGCATGTAATAATTTCATACTAAGTACTTTCAGAAGTTTGAATTCTGATTGTGGGGTAGGTTTGTGGCGTTTAGCATTCATTGAAAGTCAATGGGGATTAACACACTCGATGTGATTTTCTGCGTAGCTCTGACTGAGATAGAGCCCGGGTCTATTTTAGTCACATAAACCAGCTGCAATTTCATCTCCGTCTGACAGGAAGAGAGACGTGGTTACAAAGTAAAACACATGAACATACAGGATAAAATCTTAATCGCACAGGGAAAGAGTCCGATTTGGAGCCGAACAGAGTATAAAGCAGGCGGGACGGATTCATGCAAAAACAATCAGTAACATTTTTAAAATACAGAATACCCATGATAGGATTTCAAGAGAACAGAAAATGGATAAAGTAGTGATCCTCTTTGAACCTCTCAAAAACAATAAGGGAAAACGCAACCTATCACTCTCCTTGAAATAAAAAAAAATCTGGCAGAGCAGGACGACAGCTATAGGAAAATATTGATCCTATTAAAGCCTCGAAAAACCCTTAAACAATGAGGGGCAGACAGTTCAGGTAAGCTCAGCTCATCACTCTCCCCTCTATGAAAAATTTAAAACACAACTTCACAGATTTCTCTCAGAGAATCACCTCTCTGCTTCATCCAGTATCGATTGAAACCGTCCCACAGCCTTTTTTGCTGTGTTTTCCTTTCCTTTAAACATAGTTCCCATTATATTTTAATATAGGCCTATAAAAATATCTGTTCTGGTTTAAGAGATGCTGCACAGTCGGCTTTTCAGATGAATTTTTCATAATCTGTCCCAGTCGAATGTGGAAAATTGCTTCAATTCATGGATCACAGAGGCTGAAAAGAAGAAAATCTGCACAGATCAAGATCTGCTCTCCCTGCATAGTCTGAGCCTCTCTATACGCACTGCAATCAGCGTGCCGTGGAAAAAAATAACGGATCGGAGATTCAAAAGTTGTACGTAACCGGTGTGACCCGGTTTTAGTCTGTGAACTCAGGCTAGAAGCTTCATGCTGTTGATCTTTTAGCGTTGAGCTCTAATCCTACCTGGATGTTTAATAAGTTTGCCCACCATAAATATGATTTCAGCATCTTTAAGAGAAGGTTTCTAATCGTTAAGATAATCACGTGCTTTTAAGGATTTCCTCAGAGACATTTGTCCAGCCGTGTCGATAGGCAGAATGGTGGCCGTTCATGTCTGAATCACAACTAAAATAGTTCACTAGATCACTGTTGTTTAGATGTCATTGAAATGCCTCCTAAGTTAACATTACGTTATGAAATATATGAATTTTTACCTTTTCCTGAATCCACATGGCTTGCAGCTAATGAGAGGCACAAACATCATGAGGGGAATAAGTGATTCTAGCTGGGTGATAATCTGGTCATTCTCATTTGCTTTGTGTTGCTCAGTGTCAGAAAATTCCAATAAAATCCAGAGGTTTTATTTTTCTATTATAAAGAGGCTTTAGCAGGATTTAATAAAGGTTTCATGACACAATTGGAAACTTATTTTAACTTAAGTTTGCGAACCGTTTCTTTAGAAATTTGAGATCATTACCGGTACATAAAAACTACAAACCATATATAAACAAACATTGGGCTCTCTATAATGTTTTTATTAGACTATATTTAATTATGGCGTTTATGTTTCAGTTTATCCCCCCCTATAAAGGAAACTTCCTGCTTTATTTATGTTTGTATTCTTTGAATGTCTTCAAAATATTAGTTTCCCTGATGGTTATGTAATCTACATGTTTAAATTACAATTATATTCCAAGACATTTATTCGTTGTTTGCTAAGATTTTAGAGGAAATAAGAGAATAGATTAAGTATCAGTTTAAATAGTTGCTTTCTTCTCCAAACTAAATGTTTCTCTGTGTAAAATAGGGCAGCGTTTTGTGTCCTTCTGACACCCTGTCTGTGTTTCCTTCTCCATAAGGAATGGGATGACTGTTCCGATGGGTCCCGGCGTTAAAACAAAGGTTAGCAACCCCGGCGGTTATTCGCTGCTCTACAACGAGTTCATCGTTTACAACCCAGCTCAGACCCGGATGAGGTACCTGCTGCGGATCCAGTTCAACTACGCCTCGCTGTGGTGAAGAGCCGTCTGACCACGTTCCGTCTCCAAGCTCCATCCTCCTTTTGTTTATGGGGAAATCTTCTTTTTGGGTTTTTTTTTTCTCCCACTGTTGGTTCTGGGGATCTACTGACACTTGAACAGGCTCCTGTTGCTAGGCAGATTACAGATAGGTTTACTTTCTACTTGGGACTTGAAGTAATTCAGTAAGGAATAATTGATCAACAGGTGGTGCATTAGTGCAGCAGCATTTAAAATAAAAACATTTTTACTGAAGTTTGGATTCATTTATAGTTTATTAATAAAATGTTCTGTGGAATAACTTTCTAATATCTACCTAATAAAAATCAACATTTACCACTGAATGGAATTAAAGCCTTATGAGAGTTAACTGAATGAATGTTGGATTTTAACCCATTGAGGTTTCCTTAAAGATTTAACAGCCTATAATAATAGCCTTAAAGGTCTGAGGTTAAAATGACTGAGTTAAAAAGGGAACATTAAAGCTGGAACCGTTTCTGCTGTGCGGTTTTATTGGTTGCTCCTCTCACATCCCTGTGCCGCTGCAGCTCACCGAGTATTTCAGCCTTTTTGTTCAGTAGAGCTAAACTGAGGGTTTATAAAACTGCAAGGAGGCTGCCTGACATGAAGGGTAAACAAATTGCACTACACCTCATTTATGTTGCTTTTTTTATTCATTTCTCCTTAAAATAAAAGCTTTTTCATGCCATCCTGCTTTATTTGTCCTTGCTCAAACACAATATGCAGTACACCTGCTTTAGAAGGTATGAAGCCTTAAATAAAGTGTAATTAAAAATTATCTTTATTTTTGTAAATGTCAAAGAAAAAAAGAAAAGCTAAGCATTTGATAGTTTAAGTTTGTTTACATTGCGTTGCATGGAGCTTCATCTCTTCCCCAGCAGGTAGAGGAAGATGAGGATTATGTCCAGGTAGATCATGAGCGCAGCATTGATGTATTCCTCTGGACTTAGCCGGTAGCTCATCTTTCCCATCATCAGCTGACAGTCGATCATCAGGAACTGAGGCAGGAAGGGAACATTTTTAATGCATCACAGCTTTATTATAAGAATGATCCATCGTTCTACACAAACAGCAGTCCTGGTGTCTAATATCCTTCCCAGTTCTCCCATTAAGGCTTTGATGTTGAATTTTATTTTGCTTAACTTATTAAATCTCATAGCTTGAGTGATTTACATCTGAAGAGATGCTGTAGACCAGGGGTCACCAACGTGGTGCCCATGGGCACCAAGGGGCCCTCAAGGACAACATGGGGTGCCCTCAGCATCTTTTGAAAACAGAACAATTCACCAGTGGACTAAATCTGAAATGTTATTTTTTACTGAAGCTCTTATTTTGAAGCATTTATGAAGCATTTTATCATATCAATAAATTAGAACATTTGATGATTTATATGGATTTCATAATGAGAATATCTAAAAGCAAATTAAAAATGAAATTAAACAATAGAAATGTTTATTATTTATGAAGTTCAGGTGAACGCCGACTCCTCTAGTTCATAGGTCAGTATTGGTAGCCCGTCCTATCACTCAGTACCCATAAAGTAGCCCTCATCCTTAAAAAAGTTGGTGACCCCTGCTTTAGACCATAGAGGATGTGATGTATTCATGTATTTTTAGAACTGATCAAGCGAACACATTTTGCTATGTGATCCTGTAAAACAAGCCTTTCTATCAGTTATGAAATAAATTAATAGAAATAGTTTTGTGTTTTACTTAATAAACTATAATAATATACATCAATGAGTTAAATTATTAATCTTATTGTAAACCAAAAATAACCTCTGTTGATTCAGCTTTATACAATGTTTATAATTAATTCAATTTACAAAGTTAAGCTTCATTTAGTGGTTTAAATCAACCTTCATGATTTTAAGGGAATGCATAAAACGCTTCATAAAGTAATCTTTAAATAGAAAGCTGTAAGTTCCTATAAAGTGACCTATAGGTGTAAAGCAAATTATTTATGGCTTTATTTACAGCTAGGGCTGAAACAATCAGATTAATCGATCGAAGAATCGTGAACTAATTTAGTAATCGAACAATCGTTAACAGGAGTATAGACTCTAACACATGAATTTAGCTGAGAGAGAAACCCACCTTGTAAAAATTATATGTAAACATTTAGCAATTAACATAAAAAAGACTTTAATGTGTGTCAATATGCTCTATGCAGAACTCCTCCAGTGGAAAAGTTTAGTTTCACCTGGTTTAATTTCATATAAAGTCCTCTTAGAGGAGCCTTTGGCTATCTGATTATTAATCGATTAATATAAACCATAATTGAAAGATTAATCAATTGGCAAATTCTTCGTCATTGCAGCCCTAATTACGGCCTGTTATTTCATTTCTGCTCTTACCAGAGAATACAGCAGCGCTCCAAGACATCCATAGACGATGCTGGAGACGTGGGAGTAGTAGAAGGTGCAGAAGAACCCAAACATGATAAAGTCCACAGCCAGGATCAACAGAACTCCGTAATAAATGGTGAAATCATAACGCGTCTGATCAAAGAAGAAAATGTTAAAAGAAGACAGTCACTTGCTTGGAGCAGTAATTAACAGCAGCTGGATTTATCTTTAAAATAATGTTTTTAAAGACAGTAAATCATCTAAGGAAAAATAACTTATTTTAGATAGTAATCTAAAATATACCAGAAACAAAGAAACATCTACCTATCAATGAATCAACAACTCCCCTCATGGTAATCATCTTTGATGCCACTGAAATGTACCTTTTTTTTCCTTTAAAAAGCATTTAAATGATTCACTTGTGGCTTTATCATCATTGAACATGGACTACAAAACTGCTGCAAGAGAAAAACAAAGTCTGGTTTCAATATTTTGCTCTCATGCAGACTCCCAGTGCCCAACACAATGTATTAAAGGGCAGAGGTGGGTAACTAGTTACATTTACTTGAGTAAAGTTTATGAAAGGTTTAGTTTTAACTGTACTCTTTACTTTTATTTAAATAATAGAATAGAATAATATAGAGAAGAATATAAAATCCCTTTATTGTCCCACAGTGGGGAAATTCTGGTGTTTACAGCAGCAAAAAGGTTATAGGAAAAAATGGTCAAACAAATGGTGACCTTAGAAAAAACATAACATTAAAGGGTTAAAAGTTAAACAATAAAATACTGTACTGTAAAGGGTTTTAACAGTATAAAAACCTGCACCTGGAGAATAATTGATATATAAATAATTTAATACACATATAATGTAATAAAAATATATATTTTATTATAATAATATTCTTGTAAGCATATCACTACACGTGTGTTTATCATGCGATTGGTTTAACCAGCGTGAGTAATTTAAACTTTTCAGTGATTGGGTGTAAATACAGTAAACAGTAGATATTGTAGCTAGAGTTTCTTTATACTTTACTGACATATATACGTAATCCAATGTCAGGAATGTTTTCTTATAGATTTGATTGATGCAATAAAATTTATTTATTTATTTATTAATTTTTTTACAGTGTCCTGTCTGGCAATGTGGCAATAAGAATAATTGTCTTGATGCCAAAAAGAGCCCAACAGATTTTACTTTCACTAGTGTAGCAGTATGGCAATTGCCATATTGCTCCACTTGTTTCATGCATATAAATTGCTTTATTATAATTATGCCGGGAGTTTTACAGTTTATATGGACACTGCAATGTAAATAGAGCAGAAAAACAGAAGAAGAAAAGGAAAAAAGAGAGAAAAAAAAGAGAAAAGATTAAAGAAAGAAGAGATAGAAAGGAGACAATGACAAAACATTTTCAGTCTGCTTCATCACCTGTAACGAGATGTAAAAAGAACAGCACGACCGAAAGACATGGTACGAGATAAACAATAAAGCAACACCTTGAAACTATCGCTAAAGTAATATTATTAAGTCTGACATGTACTCTGTGTTACCTGAAGATACGGATGTGGGCTTAAAATTTATTTTGCAACCCTGTCATTTATTTGTAATTTTTTAACTATATTTTATTACTTTGAAATCATACAATGTGCACATAAGTATCTTTTTAATTACATGATTTTAAACATTATGATTACAACAAAAACTCTACTTGAGTAGCCATTTTACTAAGTACCTTTTACCTTTACTCGAGTAATTTCTTGAATGACTGCTATATACTTTTCCTGAAGTAGAAAATCAAACTTTTTCTGTTCATATTTTATACTAGGGTTTCCATAAAGTTCTAAACCCTGCAGAAAAATTTTGAAATTTAAGTCTTGAAAGTGTTTAATTGAAATAAAAAATGTGCAGAACGCTGTTAATTTGCTCAATCTGGATGGTTGTGATGTTTGTCTGGGCTCACGATAGCTTTCCTTATAGAGCGCCCGCTTTGGTTGACTGAAAACAACCTCTATCAGGATAACTAGGCTCCATATCTAAGTATTAGACAGACCTAAAATGGATGTTTGGAAGAAGAACTTAAATTGGATAAAACTTCTCGGCTCCAGAGGAGTAACTATGTTTTATAAACAGCTGATTCTACAATCTGGGTTCAATGATTATGGGCCCCGTATGTAGATGTTAACTGAGGAAAGGAGCCACAGGTGAGAGTTCTTTATGAAAGTGTCACCAACCTGAGCAGAGTAAGCGATGATTGCACCAGAAATGACCAGCGTCACGGCCATGATGATGACAACCACAGTGGTGTCATGAAAGGAGGCGATGGTCCCCACCATGTAGGACAGGCTGAGGGTGACGAGGACCTGCAGACACAAAAATCAGATCACTATAAGCACCTTATGCGTGTTGCAGACTTTTACAAGAAAAAAAATGCTGTGAAATATATATTTAATATAGCGGCTCACCAGCCCCACGATGTTCCAGGGGTGACGCCTGTTGAAGGACTTGCAGCAGGTGAGGGCGATGGCCACCACAGCAAACACGATGAAGGAGCTGAGGTAGGCCCACAGATTGGTCTGCACCACCTCTTTAACAGCGCTGGAGAAGGTGAACACACAGACCACGCTGAAGGTGAACACCAGCTGGAGGGTCAAGATACTAAACACCTGCAGGAGGAAATAAGAGACACGCTTATTATTATTTAATGGACTTCTGTCCTTGAAGAGGGATTTTATTTAATGGGAAATTGATAAAATATATAAAGCAGTTAAAATGAATGTTTTCCTTACTGTTTGAAATTAAACTAAACCAAAGTTTGACGTTTTTAGCTTAGTATTACACCACATTAGACTTAATTTATTTACACGGCCTGGGAGAGTCCAGCTGGGGTCATGTTCATTTCAATTCAGTTCATTTCTATAGCACCAATTCACAACACGTCATCTCAAGGCACTTTACAGATACAAATCAACTAGATCATACATTCAGATTGATTCAAAGTTTTCTATCTAATGAAAACTAGTTGATTGCATCGACTCATTGACTTCAGGGCCTTCCCTCACATTAAGCATGCTTGCAGTGACAGTGGAGAGAAAAAACTCCCTTTTAACATGAAGGAACCTCCACCAGAACCAGGCTAAGTGTGAGCGGCCATCTGCCGAGGTTAACTGGTGTCTTTATGTTATGCTTCAGATATTTAAGCTCCATAAATGCATGTCTTAAAAACACTGCTTCCCAATGTTAGGTAGCAGGAGGAGAACTGTGGACTGAAGGAGACGAGTTCTGTGTCCCACAGAGGAACGTGTTGGATTACGAA